TAAATGGCCACAAAATAAATTCTGTCTCTCTCCTTGCTCGTTGCTTTTGTTCAGTTTCTTTTCCTAGTCAGCATTTGATCTACTTCTTTATCCTTTCCTCTGAAGTTCAGGGTTCCAGGATTATCATTCATATCTGTTTTACTTGGTCTTTCATGTCTTTGTTTTAGAGGGTCTGGGTAGTGTGCCTGCCTAGTCTGCCATCTTGCTAAAAGTTTCCCTATGTTCTTCAAATTGTGCAAGCATTCTGGCTATTCTTTTGCAAATTATTTCACCCTGTTTATATAAACTCAATGCTCCATAAATGAAAACTTGCTCTTCCCCCTCCCTGTACCTGACAGTTGTTGTTAAGTGTCGTTGAGTAGGTTTTGACTCATAGTAACCCTGTATAGGGTTTCCAAGGAGCAGCTGGTGGGTTTGAACTGCTGACTGTTTGGTTGACAGTCCAGTGCTGATCCTATGGTGCCATACAGGAGTCCCCCTGTGCCTGGTAACCACTAATAATTAGTTTTCTATGTACTTGGTTATTTCATATAAAAGAGATCATACAGTATTTATCATTTTGCAACTTACTTATTTTTATTAGTATAATGTTTGCAGGATTTGCAAAGATGTGACATGCACCAGGACTTCATTTCTCTTTAGAATTGACTGAGATTCCATTGCATGTATCACATTTTGTTTATATATTTATCTGTTTAAGGAAACCCTGTACAGGGTCGCTATGGGTCGGAACCGACTCGATGGCACATAACAACAACAACAACAACAACAAGGACATGTCTTATTTCCACATTTGGACTATTGTGCAAAATGTTGTAATGAAAATTGTTGTACAGGTTTCTGATTGTGTTACTGTTCTCATTTCTTCTGAGTATGTACCTAGCACTGGGTCACATGATAGGTCTATGTTTAACTTTTTGAGGAATTGCCAAGTTGTTATCCATAGCAGCGGTAACATTTTACATTCCCATACCCAGGAGAGGATTCCAATTTAAATAGATAGCTTTTTTATGTTAAGGATTATATCTTATTTTTCTGTATATCCCTCATGCCTAATATAGGGTCTGGCACACAGTACATGTTCAACACATATGCTCAATATTAAAGGGATGAGAATTTGTCCCTGTTCCTTCATGAAGCTGGATAGAATAAAGGACAACTGTGAGGAGCTCGAGCAGAGGCAGAAAAGCAGGGAAGGCGCCAACTAATGACTTCAGGAGACAGGCTGGTTTGTGGACACATATGAGACCTCCCTCTGGGAACTCCCATAGACAACACGGAATTACAACTTCTAGGGGAGACACTGATCCAATAAATTTAATTGCAAAGACATAAGGTAATAGTAAATATAACCAAGTTACTGTCACACATACCCGTAGTATTTATTTCAGCTGTCCTAACTTACCTTGTTTTAGCCTTCCATGGGTTTAATGGATTTTTCAGAAAGGAAAAAATCTAATTGTTGAAGATGCAAATCAAAGAGGAAGTGTGACAAGTGATATTACTTTGTGGGGATTGTTATCAGTGACACAAAACAAAATGCACATGAGTTGTTGAGTGAAAAACTGATTTGCTCTTTAAATGTTTACCTAATTCACAATAAAAATTTTAAAGATTTATTTTAAGAATTTGATCAGTGTCACTCAATTATACATGTAGAAATGGTTGAGTTGGCCTATGTTGTGTTTTATATTTATTTTCATCCGCTTTTTGTTTTTTTAAGAGTTTATTGTGAATTGAGTGAAAGTTTACTGGGCAGATTATCAGTTTTACATTCAATAAATCATATTTTTGCAATGATTACAATCCTGTCCATGTACCATCTGTATTTACCTCTACCCCACCCCACCCTTTTTTTTTTTTTTTTTTGATGTACACATACAAAACAGAAAATACATATTCATCTAGATGTCCAAAGGGCACACTTTGCAAAGCCAGCCTCCTCTCAGTAGGCACATGGGCCTATAGTCCATGGGTCTATAATCCTCAGCTGCTCTATCTCTCTATGCCATTGCTTCTGCCATTGTCTCTGCTGTCCCAGCTTTTCTAGTTAGGACCTCATGCTCCACTTGTGTTCCTTCCTCTTTTTGGTCTTAGGGTCCTCTGATCCTGATATGGAAGATTAAATACTCACTCTTTTAGTAATACATCTTCTATATTTAAAACAGTGACAATCACAATTAGTCCTGTCAACAATTGTTGTTGTTGTTGTTGTTGTTGTTGTTAAGTGCCATCGAGTCGGTTCCGACCCATAGCGACCCTGTACAGGGTTTCTGAGGCTGTAAATCTTTAAGGGAGCAGAGAGCCTCATCCTTCTTCCACGGAGCGGCTGGTAGTTTTGAACTGCTGATCTTAAGGTTCGCAGCCCAATTTGTAACCACTGCACTACCAGACCTCCTGGTATAACAATTACACACAATCAAATCATAAAATCTTATTTCTATCCTCCCCCATCCCCTTTCACCAGATGCATCTGAAGAAAAAGGATAACTATTGGAGGCTTTCTGCTCCCATAAAGATTTACAGCCTCGGAAACCCTGCTCAGGGTCACTATGGGTTGGAACTGACTTGATGGCACATAACAACAATAACATTCAGTGGGAATTCTGATATCTTAGCCCCCGTCATTCTGAAACAAAGCACCCTCAGGAAAGCTTGTAAGCCAGCCACTTAATGTCTTTATAGTTCCGCATTTTTGATAGTCAATGACTAAATTGCCTGTCCCTATTGAGCTCTGGTAGCGTAGTGGTTACAAATCAGGCTGTGAACCACAAGGTCAGCAGTTCGAAACTACCAGCTGCTCCACGGGAGAAAGATGAGGCTTTCTGCTCCCGTAAAGATTTACAGCCTCAGAAACCCTGTTTAGGGCCCCTATGGGTTGGAAACGACTCAACGGTACTTTAAACAACAATTAATTCAACATACTGAGGAGGCAAGTTTTATCTTTGATATGAAGATTCCTTCCCTTTTTATTGGAATTTTGAGCAACTACATCCATAAGCAAAGGTCTAGTTCATCAAATTGTAGCAAAATATCAAATTTCTTTATTTGGTTGAGTTCTGATCAGCTAGCCATCCAAACTATGCCAAATGGTTCTTGCATGCCTCCCCCACTTCAGGCCAGTTGGCTGCTTCACTCTCTGCTCTAGCATGATCAGTGTCCATGGGCTTGGGAGTTTACACACTTCCATAAACTTCAGACTAGCCAGCCCTTCCTCTTCTCTCTCTCATCTCAAGGTCAATGGGTACCTATAAAACATGACCAAACTCAGCCCATGTCTTCATTGCTGCATTACCCCCACTTCCACTTACAAGTAGACCAGGGTGGTCACCAGCGAGCATACAAGACTGTTCATGTGTTCCTTTTGAGTTTCAGTCTTAGAAGGGGGATTACCCTGATGGGCTTATGTCTCTTGCCTTGGTGGCTCCTAAGTAGACAGCTTGCTGCTATTCTAACAGTCAAATGTCTGCTTTTTGCTGCTTGTTTTTCTTTCAAGAAATATCTTCTGTTCCTCTAGCCATTCCTGGGTGGTCAGCATGTCTTATCAAGTGGGAATGTCCCACCTCAGAAGACACTGGGTGGGGCTCAGGATTCCACCTAAGGCCTCATACTCCTCAAAGGCTTAACAAAAAGCCAATTTCCCTGGGTAATTTCGAATTCCCCTTTTAACCAATCCAATCAGTTACAGGTTGAAGACAGGCTTACAAGCTTTCTGTAATCATATTACCCAATATTCCTTTCTATCCCTCTTAAATGTCTATATTACAATAGAAGGCAGTGGATCCACAAGATCCACAAGACAGTCAAGCCCCTTAACATGATTTCCCCTCCTTTATCCATTCTGACTATGTCTGGGTCCCTGTATCACAAAGCCCTGTTGTTCAAAGGTTGTGTACACATCACTATTTACCTCTATGCCATTTAACCTATGCATACCTCCCTAATTTTCCCCTATAGTCCTTGTTCATCTACCTCCCTCCCCATCTGTGTATTGCCTTCCCCATCACTGTCTCCTCCCTCCCCTGGTAACCACAAAATAATTTTTCTTTTAGACTGGAAATCTTTTCTTAAGCTTTTACAATGCTGGTCTTATACAATTGTTATCCTTTTGTGATTGAGTAATTTTACTCAGCATTATGTCCTCAAGGTTCATCCATGTTATGAGATGTACTGCAGCTTCATCATTATTCTTCAAGGTAGTATAGTATTCTAGTGTGTGTATGTACCAAAGTTTGTTTATCCATTCTTCCATTTATGGGCACTTAGGATGTCTCCATCTTTTTGCTATTGTGAATAGTGCTGCAATAAACATTGGTGTGCATATATCTACTCTTGTTCTGGCTTGTATTTCTTGGGGATATATACTAAGTAGAGGAATTTTATTTCCAACTAGCTATGTGATTCCATAAAAGGAGAGAGAGCCCCAAGCAGTATAAGGACAGATATGAAAATAAAGGGATTCAAGCTATTTCCCCATCTTCTTCCTTTGGAGTAAAACATTGAGTGGGTTGGGGTTTTCCATTTCTTTAGCAATTGTCAAGAGTCTTTCATTTCCCAGTTTTAAAGAACTTTCTCTCCTTCCATTTTTAGAGCTTATTGGAGGTCTGTCCCTGGCATATACTACCCTTCTCAGGAACAAAGAAAATGAGGTGAAGACAGAATAGGTTGGGACACAAGACTCAATTTAATTTGTATTCCAGCCTCGATTCCCAGTTTAGCTCAGATCCCCATCTCAGAGCAGACCAGCAAAGGGCTGCTGGACCACTGGGACCCACCAGACTGGCCCCTGTATTGGAATTTATCTTCTAAGCAGATCCTCCTTACCAAACCAGGGATGCTGGGGGTTTGAAACTAGAAAAATGCCAGGTTTGAGAGAGAGGAAAGCACAACTCCAGAAAAACACAGAGTTCTGTGTATTCAGAGGGAACTTGGCAGGGTTGTATTCAAGCAGAGGAACTCTGAGTGGTACAAAGGGACGTGCCCAGAGTGGAGAAATCATGCTAATTGTCTGCACCAGAGCTGGAGAATGCCACCCAAAATGAAGAGAGAAAAGGGAGCCCTAACCAGAGCCTCCAATGTCCTGCACCTCACTCCTTTTGTGTACCTTCTTCTGATCCATACAGGTAGGAGACCTTCTGGTAAGAAAGGGTCTGGAGAAGGGACCCTGGGTTTTCAAAGGAGAGGGAGGGGAAGAGTTGAGGGCCTGAATGCATTTGGAGTGGGAGGAGGGAGTGAGCTCAGCTGCCCGTGGGAAGAGTCTCAGTGAATTCAGGCATTAGTGTTGAATGTATTTCTTCATTCCGAGTGCCTCCCAGCCCAGGCCTCCCTCCCCCAAAAGCCTGCATGACTTTGGAGCTCCCTCAGCTTCAGTACATTAGATGAATGGCACTGAGCCATTTCTTATGGAATGACTTGTTGGCGTGGGCCAGTCCAGCATTCTTTTCTAGGGATTGTGGTGAGGCTTTGGGGAGGTGGGGGAAATCTTGATTATATGATCCCCCAAACCACCCTTACCCCACTTTGGCTTCTCTGAGTGTAAAACAGCAAGGAAGATGAAAGCAATTTTAGAGATACTGACCCTCTAGTTCTTGCACAGTAACACCATTTTCTCTATAACTCAACCCTTCCCCATAGGCACCTACTGCCCCTCTACCAATTCCTTGGAGAATTGATCTTATTTTAAATGTGTGTGTGCATGTGTTTTGGTATGTATGTGCATGTGTGTGTGCATGTGCATGTGCATGTACATTACAAAGAGTCTAGTAATGCAGTTTAGTGGGGCAAGCAAATGCAAGGATCATTTGAATACTATAGGTCAGATATGCACAGAGGATAGAGGAATTAGAGAATGATCTCTTACCACAGCCTAGAAGCAGGCACTGGTGATGCAGGATGGGAGGATAATAGAGCAAGTTTCCTGCTTGAGATAATGTCTGAAGTAAATTGTAAAGGATTAGTAAAATAGGTAAAAAGCTCTGGTAGCATAGTGGTTACGAATCAAGCTGCTAACCTTAAGGTTAGCAATTCGAAACTACCATCTGTTCTGCGGGAGAAAGATGATGCATTCTGCTCCAGTAAAGATTTACAGCCTCAGAACCAACTCCATGGAACACCACCACCACTACCACCAGGCATTACAGTCTGACAAATGGGCAAAGGTCAGTAGATTGAAATAGCATCAAGTATTAAGAGGAGCAGGGCAGTTCAATATTGCTGGAGAGAAAAGTGTGAATTGCATTACACAAGATACCTGTACATTGTATTAAGAAGCCTGGAATGTAAACTGTAAACAGGAGAGAGGGGTGTTAAGTGGTTTTTAATTTGAACAGTGGCAGGGTTAAATGTACATTTCGGACAATTCAGTCTGCTGTTGAGGCATTGGAGGGAGCAAATAAGAAATAGTGAGAATGGATAAAATCACATAAGAGGAAAAAAGGGAGGATGGGCTGAAAATAGAACATTGGGCAAGACAGATAAAGAAAAAACTTATGAAGACCACCAAAAGGAACAGTCAGAGAGGCAGAGGGAGAACTGAAGACCGCGTCCGGGAACCTAAGGAAGTTGAGAATTCACCGAAGTGAGTCAACACCATCAAATGTGTCAGAGAGGTTCAGTAGAATAAAGACCTAAAAGAATCGACTGGATTTGACAAATAAGAAGTTTCCATTAGCCTTAGTATGTCTCGATGGATATCACAATGAGTTAAGGAAAAAATGAGACTTGAAGGTACGGCGCTGTGGCGGAAGGCTTGCACTTTGGAGCCGGTTCCGATTCATAGCCACCCTGTGTAGGGTTTCTGAGGCTGTAAATCTTTTTAAGGGTGCAGAAAGCCTCATCTTTCTCCCATAGAAATGCTGGTGGTTTTGAACTGCTGACTGTGAGCTTAGCAGCTTGATTTGTAGCTCTGGTAGCGTAGTGCTTACGAATCGGGCTGCGAACCGCAAGGTCAGCGTTCGAAACTGCCAGCTGTTCCACAGGAAAAAGATGAGGCTTTCTGCTCCTGTAAAGAGTTACAGCCTCGGAAACCCTGTACAGGGTCACTATGAGTCAGAACTCACTCCACAGCCCATAACCACCACCACCACCACGCTACCAGAGCTCCTGAAGGTATGATGTTGTTGTCACGTGCCGTCGAGTCAATTCCGACCCATAGCGACCCTGTATAGGGTTTCCAAGGAACAGCTGGTGAGCTTGAACTGCCGACCTTGCAGTTCAAACAGCTTTGCAGTCTGGCGCATTAACCCACAGCGCCACACCAGGACTCCGGTATAGACACAATGAATTGGAAATAGGACGCAACAATGAAATATGTAAATCAAAGATGTCCCTAAACTCTTTCAGCAATCAAGTAGTAAAAAGGAGGAAAAAAACAGATAGTGTTAGTCAATGTAACTAGGCAAATGAAAAAGATGACAAAAGGTCTTGGGTATGGGAAATTACAACCTAATAAGTATAGAAAATCCTAAATATAAACTATGCTTATCGGATATTAGTTATGACCTATGACAGGTATAGAGTCCTGGTGTGGTGCTGTGGGCTAGTGAGTCAGACTGCAAATTTATTTGAACTGCAAGATCAGTGGTTCAAGCTCACGAGATGCTCCATGGAAACCTTATGGGTTGGAATCAACTCGACAGCACTTCACAACAACATGACAGGTATGACTCCTGATGTGGCACTATAGAATAAGTGCTGGACTGCTAACCACAAAGTTGGCTGTTCAAATCCACTAGTTGCTCCTCAGAAATCCTATTTAGGGTTGCTATGAGTTGAAACTGACATGGCACTTAACAACAATAGCAACATGACAGGTAAGAGGTAAGTGCAGGTAAGGTTAGGCCTCTATGCTGCTATAGACAGACTAGTGGACAATAAAGAGTGGAGATTCCATAATAAATTCCTACTTCAGTATATTATTTAGGAAAATATCATCTCTGGTAACAAATAAACTCCAAATCTGTAAGATTCTGAAACTGGTCATCTATTGCAGTTCCAAGTTAAACCTGGGATGGAAAAGGACTCTGCTCCATGAAATTTTTCAGGGGCCAAGCTGATGGAAGCTTTATCAACTTCATCATATATTTCCAATGGCCGCCTTTAGGTTTCTCTCCAATTCTGCCAAATAAATAATTTTAAAACAACAATACAAAACAAAAACCATTTAGGAATATACAAGGGATAAACCAGGCCTAGAAGTGATATATATCACTTCCACTGGTTCTGTAAGTATTGGTTAGAACTCAGTCAAATGGCCATATGAGAATCTGGGAAATGTCATTTTTAAAATGTGGACTATGTGGATTTGGCTCCCAAAGATTTACTTTTTCTCTTGTGATTATGACAGCAGCTACTAAGCTGACCTCAGACAAGTAACACATAATCTTTAATACTCTGACTCTTGTGTGAACAAATGAGCCCTTCCTAGATTCATAACAGTTTAGTTCATGAGTCAATCAAATAAAGACTTTCTACAGGCAAAAGACGTTAACTGAAACATCAACTCAGTGTGCCATAAATCTAGATAATATGATCTGCAAGGTTTTAGTCTCTGGGATCCTAGCTCTATTCTATCTTCTAGGAACCCAATAAGATACATTTTGCCTGGGTGCCATCCTTTTTTAGACCCATGTCCACCTCCACATTGTAGGTGGTAAAGTTGCTTTTGTTTGTTAAAAAGATATAACTTAAAATTACTTACAGAAAAATGTATTTGACCACAGAATACAATTTGATGAATCTTTAAAAAAAAAAAAAAAAAAAGTGAACAAACCCATGTAATTAGTCCCCCAGATCAAGAAATACAACATTCTAGCACCTAAGAAGTGTCCTTCTCATACCATTTCAATCATTACTGGCCCCACATTCATCCAGGGTCGCCACTATCCTAACTTCTAATACAAATAAATTTTTCATGTGTTTATTTTTCATGAACATTATATAAATGGAAATGGACCCACATGTATACCTTTCTTTGTGTCTGATTTCTTTCTTTATACACCAAATTTGTAAGATTCATCCATGTTGCTGTTATTATAATTTGTTTTAATTTCATTGCTATCCAGTGTTATGAATTGTATGACTACCTCACAATGTATTTATCTATTCTAATAAGATACTTATTGGGCTGCTAACCTCATGGTCAGCAGTTCGAAACTACCAGCTGTTCCATGGGAGAAAGATGAGGGTTTCTGTTTCCATAAAGATTTACAGCCTGGGAAACCCTATGCAGGGTTGACATGAGTTGGAACCAACTCCCCAGCACACCACCACTGCCAATAGATACTTTGCTTGTTTCCAGTTTGGAACTTTTAAAATGTTTCTAAAAACATTTTAGTGCATGTCTTTTGGTGAACATAAAAACACACTTCTTCTGGAAATATACTTAGGAAGGAATTCTGAGCTATAGGATGTGCGAGTCCTGGTGTGGTGCTGTGGGTTAATGTGCTGAACTGCAAAGGCGGTTTGAACAGCGAGGTCGATGGTTCAAGCTTACCAGCCGCTCCTCGGAAACCCAATATATGGTCGCTATGGGTGAGAACCGACTCGATGGCACTTAGCAACAACAACGACAAGCAACAAGTACAGGACTGCAAGGTCTGTTCGAATCACAAAATGGCGGTTCAAACCCACCAGTCACCTCTTGGAAACGCTATACAGGGTCGCTATGAGTCTGAACAGACTTCAAACTCTCCAGCTGCTCCCTGGAAAACCCTATCCAGAATCATTATGGGTTGAACCGACTCAACAGCACTTAGCAAAAACAACAGAAACAGCAACAACAGGGTATATGTGTTGCAGTCGTTGTTATGTGCCATCTAGTCGCTTCCGACCCATAGCGACTCTATATACGGTTTCCGAGGAGAGGCTGGTGAGCTTGAACCGCCAACCTTGTGGTTCAAACCGACTTTGCAGTCCTGCACATTAGCTCACAGAGCCACAGTTTTAGCATAGGTGACCAAATAATTCTCAAAAGTAGTTGTCTCCATTTATAATCTTAGCGGCAGTGTATGTTCTTGTAGTTAGGTGCCATCGAGTCAGTTCCCACTTATAGTGACCCTGTATAACGTTTCCGAGTCTGTAAACCTTTACAGGAGCGGAAAGCCTCATCTTTCTCTTCTTGCTA